TGCCGAAAAATTTGCGTTCAACCGTGCTGCACGAGCTTCACGATGAACCAACTGCTGGTCATCTGGGTGTATCTCGGACGTACGACCGCGTGCGTCGCCGCTTCCTTTGGTGCGGTCTCGCCCGGTCCGTTCGCCGTTACGTGTCCTCCTGCGATAAATGCCAACGTAGGAAGCGACCTACTGCGCCCCCGGCTGGACTTCTTCAACCGATCTCCATCCCAACCGAACCTTTCTTCCGTGTTGGTATAGATCTTCTCGGTCCTTTTCCCGAGTCGAAATCGCGCAACAAGTGGGTCGCTGTTGCTATAGACTACGCGACTAGGTATGCCATCACTCGAGCGCTCCCCACCAGCACCGCTACTGACGTTGCGGACTTTTTGCTCCACGACGTCATCTTACAGCATGGCGCTCCTCGCCAATTACTCACAGATCTTGGCCGCGCATTTTTGTCCCGTGTGATCGACGATCTTCTGCGCTCTTCCTCGACGCACCACAAGCTGACCACATCCTACCATCCCCAAACATATGGCCTTACCGAACGGCTAAATCGGACCCTAACGAACATGCTCGCGATGTATGTGTCCTCCGACCACCATGACTGGGACCTGGCGCTACCTCACGTGACCTTCGCGTACAATTCTTCGCACCACGAAACCACTGGTTATTCACCCTTTTATTTGCTTTATGGCCGTGATCCGACGTTACCACTCGACACCTTACTTCCAACCACTACAACGCCGTCAACCGAATATGCACGCGACGCTATTGCTCGTGCCGACCACGCACGTCAGATCGCCCGCTCTAGACTTTCGGCTTCGCAAGCCACCCAGAAAGCCATCTACGACAGCCGGCATGCTGACGTTCACTTCTCACCCGGTGCTCTTGTTCTCCTGTGGTGCCCAGTTCGTCGAGTTGGCTTATCAGAGAAGTTATTGTCTCGCTACATGGGTCCTTACCGTATCATCCGCCAGTTAACCGACGTCACCTATGAGATCATTCCTGCATCTGAGACCACAAGCCTGCCTGCAACCACACCCAGTGATGTTTTGCACGTCAGCAGGCTAAAACCTTACCACCTGCCTACTGAAGACCGTAGTTAATGTGCACCGAGACGGCGCTTTTACCGCCGGGGGGGGGGAGGGTAATGCTACGTAGCTGACGTATCAGCGGTGAAAAGACGACAACGAGGAAGTGGTCTGTCGGTTGCGCGTGCTGCTTCCATCTTAGTCGACGCCATACGCATCATTTTGAATATAGATTTTAAATAGACACACCTCGTGTCATTTTTACGTAACAATATGTTCAGGTTGAGTTACACAACCCATCGAAAGACCACTGCGTATCACCCTCAGAGTAATGGTTTAACAGAAAGGCTAAAAAAACGCTAGCTGACATGATCTCTATGTACGTGCATGTGCAGCACAAAATGTGGGACGACATCCTGCCATATGTAACATTTCCGTATAACACTGCAACGCAGGAAACTACACGCTTCACACCATTCCGGCTCGTTTATGGTCGAGATGTTAGAACTATGTTGGACGCCATGATTCCATATGAGGACATCGACAAGCTCGACCAATCAGCCCCCGACATGAATGAGTAAATTCAGCGCGCTGAGGAAGCACGTCAACTGGCCCGTGTGCACATCCGAACACAACAGTGCGCAGATGCACGGCGGTACAACACCCACCATCTAGAAGTTATTTATGAACCTGGTGACCAAGTTTGGGTTTGGATACCCATTAGGCGGTGAGGTCTCAGTGAGAAACTCTTGAGGAAGTACTTTGTACCTTACAAAGTACTGAGACGTGTGAGCGACGTGAACTACGAAGTGGTTCCAGACGGAGGCTCGCCATCATCCCAGCGCAGGTTACCACGCCCAGAGACTGTACACGTATACCGCCTAAAACCATACTTTACGTAGTGATGCGAATTTTCTTCTTGTGCCAGTGAACTCTTCATGTGAACAGTGAATGCCGTTTGTTTCCGATTGCCGGGCCCAGGACGCATTCTCTCTCGTGCACTAATTTGTTTAATGTTTCTTTATGTTACCTACTTCGACCCACTGCTGCGCACACTTTTGTTTGAGCATCGGGTCGATGCTCTCTTGGGAGGAGGAGTAATGCCACCTGGTGTTCTGTTCCAGTGAACAGTGAGTCAGTTCTGTGCCGGTGAACGAGGAAGACGAAGACGAGCAACCCGTGCCAGCGAAGACGTCCTTCTTTGTCTCTGAGATTTTGTACAGTCGCGTCCCTTTGTACGTTCGTTCGAGCTCTTAGCGCGTGACAATATACGGGGTGACCAGTGAATGGTTATGCAGTGAGAGCAGTCGTTTCTCTCTTTTTTTTACTAGCAGACTCTGCCGGCGTCAGCCTTGCGAAGTGAGAGAGGGGGAGGGGAGCAACAGTTTTCTGGGTGTCTTCTTGGGCCGGCACGAGACGCGATCATGCACAGCAAAGGCGTGGACGGCGCGCCGAAGTGCGACATTGTACGACTGAGAAATGCGCCGCGTTTAACAATTTCTGGAGTTTAACGTTCCGCCCCGCCGGGGTGGTCTAGTGGCTAAGGTACTCGGCTGCTGACCCGCAGGTCGCGGGTTCAAATCCCGGCTGCGGCGGCTGCATTTCCGATGGAGGCGGAAATGTTGTAGGCCCGTGTGCTCAGATTTGAGTGCACGTTAAAGAACCCCAGGTGGTCGAAATTTCCGGAGCCCTCCACTACGGCGTCTCTCATAATCATATGCTGGTTTTGGGACGTTAAACCCCACAAATCAATCAGTTTAACGTTCCGAAACCACAATATGATAATCATAAACGCCACAACGAAGGGCTCCAGAAAACTTCTACCAACTGAAATTTTTCTAATGTGCAACTAAATCTGAGTACATGCGCCTCGAACATTTCCGCCTCCCTTGAAAATGCCGCCACTGCCTGGATTCTGATCTGCGACCATCGGGTTATATCAGACGAGAGCCATGGCCACCAGACTAGCGTGGTGGGGTCACCTGAGGTTCCTAACCTTAACCTAAATCTAAGCACACACCCGCCAGGATGGTCTAGTGTTTATCGGGCCCGGGAACTGACCTAAAGTCGATGCCACGGCCAACTATTCTGGGCGCGGCGATTGCATTTTGATTGACGCGAAATACCGGAGGCCCGCCTTCTTGTATTTGGGTGCACGCGCTATAAAGAACACCAGACGGTGAAAGTTTCCGAACACTCCACTCCGGCGTCCCTCAGAGTCGCATCAGAGTGTTAGTACGTAGAACCCCAACTAGATGTCGAAGCACACAGGCCTCTAGCAATTTGCCTCCATCAAAATGCGGTTGCCATGACCGGGAACGAACCCGCGAGCTTTTTGTCAGAAGCCAGGCACCGTAACGGCTACACCACTGTCGCGGAACATAGTAGCAAAACGGCCCCAGGCCGCATAGCTTTTCAACCTCGCCTTTCTAACATTTCTGCAGAAAATGAATGATTGAATAATTATTCTTTCATTAGGTGGACATTACCTCATACTAAAGTAACTCTCTCCTAAAGCTCTCAAGTTGTCCTGCGAAACATTCTAGTTTTTTCTAATTATTAATAGTGCACGCGTGTACCAAATTTGTTATTTTAGATAGCAGGCATACATTCGATGCGTTCATCTCCGGCATTCGTTCGTTCATGCGGTACTTTGTGTGTTCTCTCAGGCATGGCACGTAAAAGGCCTCTTTTTTTCTGCTAACATTTCTACCACAATGTTTAATTTGATAGGATTTGACAGACCCCTGTCGCCGTTTATCCGAGTGTGGGAGTTGTCGCGGAATTTTGAAGGCACAAGATTATTTTCCGCAGAAGTAGACAACGTTGCTAAGCCGTAGCTTTCTCTTAAACCGAATAGTAAGGTGCACATAGGCTGGGCTTAGAATCACACATCGGCTTATGAGACCTCCGAACGCATATGTATGTACTTTATTGATGTAGAAAATTTTTTGGATAAAAAAAATAGAGCTGTGCGAGTAGCAAAGTTCTGGGTGTGAAGCGAGTTCGAATATTCAAGTGCTAATCAAATCGAGTCTTCTAATATTTCTAGAATATTTTTGCAAATATTTCGGTGCAATATTGCAGAAAAAAAACGTTGTAGTTGATTCCTAAGTATAGTCTTGTGAGATAGCAACCTGAGAGGGTTTCTCTCGGCTATAGGTTGATGAAGCGCAAGTGGGGTGGCGTTTCTTTGTTATCAAGAACTAGGCAATGCAGAGGCCGAATCGTATTCATGTAAATGGCTTGTCGCAATGAAAAATGTGGCCGACAACACTTAACGAGTGGATGGAAAAATGCTACTTCCTCAACCTATCCTCCTCTTTAAACTTGGGTGACGGCCGCGAACAAGGGTGTGCGCTCCCTTCCAATTATGATCTGGCTCGTAGACGTCGATGTATAGAACACCGGAATTTTTGGATGCTAAAAAATTTTCAGTGTCCGATTTTTCAGACTTCTTATCAATATTTCAGTGCCAAACAGCATTCAGCCTCAAACTCTGCTACATCTATCACCTTCATATTGGAAGCAGCGTTTTCATGGGTCAACATATTTCCGATGGTAGCAGAGCTTGAACGGCAGCTTTGCTGCGACTTTACGAGTAGTGGGTTGCAGCATAATAAAAATCTAAAAGGCCACTGTCAAACGAACGTCGTCTCTATTTGTCGTCGGGAAGTTCTCATAGCTCAAATAGTAACATATCAGTGCGAATCTAATACCAGACGCAAATCGAAAAAAAGTTTGAAATTTCAATTATTAGTAAACACCTAAAAATACATACGCACATAGCCTGAAAAAGCTGAGCAATTCCGCATATTTTTTTTTTCTTTTTCTCATGTGTACCCGTTTTGCTGCAGCATTTCTGGAATACCGGCAATCCAAGGGTAGATTATCCAACCGTTCGTAGTTGTTAGGTACAGTTTATTGGCCTACAAGTGTTTCTCGACAACTGCATTATGAAGTCGTGAGACGCACATTCTTGAGCCGGATGAATCCAACGTGGGCGAGGGTGAACACCAACACCCAGATGGCGGCCATCGACAGCAGAGGCTGCACCCGTATGTTGTCGAACGTGTGTTCCACAAGTGCTTGCTGACGTCGACTGAAAAACAAAACAAAACAAATAAAGGTAAAATGAAAGCTCTATGCGCAGTACAGTCACCTGCCGCGAAAGCTGGCCCTTTAAACCCTCTTGTGCAATACAACAAATAAACGTGCCTGGCACCGATTGCGTCATAGATTATTTTTCGGGGAAAGTAGGGAAGCAGCACAGTCGGACACCACGAGCATTGGTGAATAAAGTCATTCGGCTTAAAAATGAGTCTCTCTGTCCATATAGCGGGGGTTTCAAACACGTGGCACCCGACCCACATAGGGTCATGTCTATAGCATATATATGCTTATTTTCATAAGTATGTGCGATAGCTATTCAGGCATGAGTGGTCAAAAGCATTGTCTGCGTGAGGCACCCCAAAGGTCACAATGTGTTGAATCGTAGCCATGAAACAAAAGCAATATTTCAGAATTAGCGTCCACATTTTAGTCGTTTTGGGGATTTTTATTTACATGCTGTTGAATAAAATGTTGCGATGGCCCCAATTGTTTTTCATAAATGACCGTATGTGAGATATGGGAAAGGTTTATTTCAAATGGTGGTGTTTTTTGGCAATGTGTATGTCACAGGACCCGTTAAATAGGGAGGTCATCGCCGGGCTAATTCCAAGGGCCGAAGTATCGGCCCCCCGAACCGCACACCGAAAGCGTGGACAATTTAGAAGAAGTCCTATTTGGCGCGCCAGCGGACGCCGGCTGTGGCCCAAAGAACAAGTCAGAGCCGAGAGTTGATAAACAAAACAAAACTATATTCTCATTTATGGCAGATCAAAAGGATACACAAGTATGCACACTCGAATACAATCGTTGAATACAATATGTCACCAATCAATCAATGTATTACACAGTACACTCAGACACACTCGGAACAACGAACCCAGACAAGAATACACACTACAATGCAATCGCATGCATCGAACAACCAAGACACTTAAAGACAAAAGAGTTAGAAAACTTATTCAGTCCAAAGTTCTTGGAACATCAGTCTGAATGATACTCTTCCGACAATCACTCACTCAAAGTCCTGCGTGTTTGTCGTTTCGCTGCCCCCGAAGTTTCTCTTCCAGGAAACCTCGCGTCTTCACTTGGCCGCTCTCCAAGCTTCAAACTTCTTCGCCGGAAACACGTCGGCTTCCCACACGTAGCTGTTGCCACGCATCTTTGCTCGATAGCGGTAGACACACACTCTTGCCTGTAGCTCGAGTCTTCACCCCTCAGGTGGAAATCCTCTTCTTCTCCTCCTTTGTCACGAAAGACAAAAGGCTTCGCCCACAAGGCGGAACACCCTACGCACTCTGGCGCATACTTTCTTCTTCTCCTGTTTTGTCACTAAGGACAAAACCTTCACCGACAGACGCGGCGGAATACCCCACGCACACTGGCGCTAACTTCCTGCTTCTCCTGATCTCTCATCTCGGCTGTTCGATTAAATACCATTCCGCGCGAGATTCCAGAAAGTTCTCATCATTTCGTCGGCGCGATGCGCAGCGAATGCTGGGGGAAAGGGCAAGACGGTACGAGGGCCGTCCGCGAAGGATGACGCAACCCTGCATCACCATGCCCCCTTCCATCGAGAACGTTCTAGGGCTTGCTCGGCCGTCGATGCGAGGAGGTTTCTTTGGCGAACCTAGGCTTCCGAGGGGAGAGGGACGCGCGCCCGGGGAGTCTTTGCATGCTTGTTTTCTTTTTTTTGTTGACCTCTCGGTGCTTCGTCGCGAGAATTTGGCGGAGCGCCCTTTTTTGAGCGCTCGTTTTGTGACAGTGTACGACCTATACTCCCGCCCTTTCGATTTTGCGTTTTTACCAGACCTGGCCCTGGGGTCGGAATTCTGCGACTCGAGCCCACTGCATGAGAGGAGTTTGAGGTTCCCGCCTTGTAGCTTTTAAGACAATAAAATGAGATAGACTGCACTGGGTTCTCGGCGTAAAACTGTTGACAAAAAAATCGGCCCCATATCTGCATGTTGATCTGCAGATGTCGTCGAAAGATGATAGTATATTGCGTCTGGAGAGAGTGAACAGAACGTTAATTTGATGTTCTGTGCAAGAAAATTGGTGAATGGTACTCTGGAAACGCTGCGTTGGAGTGCTTCGAGCGTGCAGCGGAGGCAAACGAGCGCATCAAGTCACGTTACACGTGAGACATGAACGCTATGTGGCAGTTATCTTGGAAGACGAAGCGTGTGGTTCTGAAACGGGCATGTGCGCCCGTGTCAGAGGTGATAAGGTGTAGAACGCAAGGCGACGGGTAAGTGCCACCACCGTGTCGTCTTAGCAAAGCGTTCGAAACACTTGTGTTTGCGCACAAGCGTTGCATGATCAGAAAAGCGTGATAAACGCTACGACCCTTAGAATTACTTATGTATGCCTTTTCAAGTAAAATGCGCAAATGCAGAATATATACGTGTTGTTATGTTGCCTCAGGTATGCGCAATAATTGCATTTTAGTTGACTATCGCACAAGTCTGAACGCAAAATCTTGAGCAGCATTGGTGGTCGCTACGGATGGCGTCGGCCGTTTGTGGTATCGTCTGGTGCCGTTTAGAATACTCAGTAGTCGGTACAGTTACGGGTGGACAGATAGACAGACCAAAATGTTTGCATCGAAGGTCCCCAAGAAATGACTATCGTCTTCAAAACTTACGACACTCACAAGTCATACGGCGGCAACGGTGTGTACAGATCGGGCATGCATTCGGCGGCCTCTTGCTGGTACGACTTGGACGGCACCAGCGCCACCTGGTCGCCGTGCAGAAGAGGCACGCCTTCTCCGAGCGACAGCCGCCGGAAAGAGTCCACGAATCGACTGCGCAACGATCGGCACGGGACCTGCGAAAGTCACCACAAAGACTCGAGTAAGCATCATTTATGAACATTCCAGCCTCTTGAAGCGTGCGCGCGTACCAGACGAAGAGATCTCTCCCTGCTCGAGCTCGGGACTGAACTGGTCAGCACTGCAATCGATAGCTGGAGTAAGTAGTCTACAGACTACGCTCAACCGTCTCATCGCAATCAGTGCACATGAAGGACCAAAAAAAAACACAAGAAAATGCACGACACAAGTGCTGCGCTTGTGTCCGCACTTGTGTTTCACAGGTGTTTTTTGTCCTTTTTGTGCGCTCATCGAGATGAGTATGTTACAACTAGCCCAATTCGCTACTTTGATTCAATACGGTTTACCAACTCGTAATTCGCGTAAAGATATTGTCACTGTTGGGGCACACAAAGAATACTGTGTCGCTGCGCTGCCTCAGTGAGGAAATGTAAATAGCGCACCGAGAGTCCTCTTCTGTTTGTTCGTTATTAGTGAAGATTATTTTACGGACCGCTCATGAGCCATTGCTTGAGGGGGCAGTAGGTAAAGTAAGCATACAATACACATTAGGTAACAGCAGTATACACGTCATAATAATGATCACTTGATTACTAACAGAATTGGTTTCTTGCAGAGTTGGAATACAATACTCATAGATTTAAAACGTGAAATACAGAGATAAACACAGTAGGTATTTTCTGCCGTATTGTGTAATTGAACGACATTATCGCGTTTGACGTTGGCTCCAAGCCACCATACAGCTCTACAACGATAAGATTCAATAAAGAAATTTTGCGGGTAACATGCATGACAGGGTGCACAAACTATGAGAACTGACATTTTAAAAAGAAGTTAACCCCTCAGTTCAAAGAGAAGCTCAGACCTTCTAAGCAGGCTTGGCGCCTTTATTGTCTACCGGATCAGTAATTGTGGCCGCCGGTACGCGTTCACTTTATCCTGCATTTATGTATATGCAATCCGAAAAGTTTTTTGGCAGCTCCAGTGAACACTTTTGCCGGATGGCATGGCGTAACAAGTGATATTGACAAGCTCGAAGCTTACCGGTAATTAAGACTAACGCTGTGAATTTCTTCCCCACCAGTGGCTGCATTTCTCGTCCACTGTTTCATTTAGATTTCACAATTAGACAAATGTACTGTTAAAACTACAAAGGCTGTTCAAATGCTTTCATTGACTTCGTTTCTTCTTAGGTATGGGTAGATTCCTTGTGACTGTTATACGTATGGTTACATTTTGTGAGACAGATAACAGTGCCACAAGTGAATGTAGAAGCGCACTTCAATGCAGCCTTACTTTGAAACCGAATACTGGATACCCGCCACATCGTTTCATGTGTGGTATGGAACTTACGCCATCCCGTTGAAAAGCCGGAATCGTTTACTGGTGGCGCAGTTTCCACGCAAAGGCGAAGAAACCATCGCCACAGCAAAGAAATTGATGCTACACAAAATCTGGCAGATATCTTTGTTAGTTACCAACTTTGCATATCTAGCCCCGCCGCGGTGGTCTAGTGGCTAAGGTACTCGACTACTGACCCGCAGGTCGTGGGTTCGAATCCCGGCTGCGGTGGCTGCATTTCCGATGGAGGCGGAAATGTTGTAGGCCCGTGTGCTCAGATTTGGGTGCACGTTAAAGAACCCCAGGAGGTCGAAATTTCTGGAGCCCTCCACTACGGCGTCTCTCATAATCATATGGTGGTTTTGGGACGATAAACCCCACATATCAATCAAATCAACTTTGCATAACTAAACAAAACTCCGGCTTTAGCAAAGCGGCCACCGCAACAAGCGCAGCAACCTTCATGCGGTCTCTTAAACGCAAGCTTACCGGTGAGAAAACTGCACGTGCAAAGGTATAAACCGTTTGCTGATATCTGAGAAGATAGCGTGACCACGTTCGAACAATCAGGCTATGCAGTTGCTGGCTTAAGCCACGCAGCCCCTACTGCGGAAGACACCCCCACCCCCCTACTCGCTTGCGCTTCTTCATAGGTGCGAAATAACGCCAGCTAGTATTCCTTCTCCTACAAAGCGGCGATGATCGGCTGTCTTCGCATGTTTAACCCGCACACAGAAGGTACGACGCATGAGGCAGTGTTACTCAGTTGGACTTTAACGAAACTTCATGACCATGTCAACTCTGATGGCAACAATGCGCCTTGAGTGGCTATATAACTGCTATCGGAATAATAAATAACTGGCCTAATGCGTGACTGAACAGCCGCATAATCACTTAGAGAGGACGTATGATTGGTATTCCTTCTTTAATTTCATGATGTCACTCCGTTTTAATCTCAGTGTACAACTTCATGGACACTTGTTAACGCACAGTTTGATATTTATGTTAAAATTACGAACGACGCCGCGTAGTAATCATTAATATTGCATGGCGATCTCGTTATTGCTACATAGGTTATAATTTGACGCAGCTGGTACGTTATACATACAGCCACTGTCTTGCACAAACCACCTCTCGAAATCTTAGACTATTTTCTGATCCCCTGATAAGCTTGAGCGCGTAAAAAGAACAGCAGAGTTTATTCAAGGGAGCTATTCTTGATGTATCTGCCTATATTGACATGTCCACTTCGGTGGAACGCATCCAGTTACACAAAAAACCAGTTAACCGTGACGTCATGGTGCTCCTGATTAGGTAGAAACACCGAAGCTGCCAGCTTATCGCCTTCGTAAAGTGGCAGAAATCGGATGAAAGGCATAATAACAGGACACTTTAACTTAGCAAGTCTCAACTTGAATTTGAACGTGTTGAGAAGTTTGGAGAACGATGCAGCCAATGCGTACTGAACATCCAGGTACGTTAGGCGGAGTACCGCATTAAACCTAAATCAAGTGTTAACGTGATTAGCGTTTACGCACGCGGCCTCTAATATGTGCGTCCCCGAGTGGTTACCTGAAGGCAGTTTTCGTTGCGACTAAACGAATTCTGTCGTTCTCAATTGTGTAGACGGTTTTGAAAGCTTCGTGTCATAAAAATGACGTTACGGAAGAAGGACCGGAAACAGGAGGTGCGCTGTTTGCCGAGCTTCGGCCAATCACTGAAGTCCTTTATGGACAGCCCGCAAAACATCACGAGAATCGCGCGTCTATAGAACTAACGCGGCCACCAATGATAGCCGTGGGATCTTCGATGCCACAAGTGAATTCCCACTTGCCTTAGCTCTTATTCGGTTAATTGATGACCGAAGACTGTCTGCGCCGATATCGCTGAATTTTGAACGTCGTTCTTTTTAAGTAAGCAAGTACGCCCAAATAAAGTTTAGTCTTTACAGGCTCTAATTGTTTTTCTCGCAGTCATGTTATACCCACGTAAGATGTTTCGATATTCGCGTTGCGCAAGATAAGCAATGCATAAGGCATTGCTCATCATTCTTGTGGAAGACGGCGATGAGCCCAGCCATACCCATAACATTTGGTTAGAAATCTCCTAGCTGTTTCACTAAGGCTCCGCTTCACAGGTCCTGATATTCGGTGAAATAGTCGAGCTGACGAGGCTTATTATCCGACAAAGCTTATCTTACTTAGCTTGCTTAGCATGTTTTACAGAAATAGCTGTTACCACATGGATTTCGGTAACAGCTTGTTTCCACAACCTGTTACTGCAATATACCACAAGGGCTCCGGCATCACCAGGACTCCGGTAATTTCGACCATTTGGTGTTCTTTAACATGCCATAGAAATCGCACAGTATGCGGGCTTCTACCATTCCGCCTTCAAGAAAATGTGTCGGCCTGTATCGAACCCGCGACCTTCATGTCAGCAGCCGAGCATCCTAGCCACAGATCCGCAGAGGCAAACCATTCACTTGTATTCGAAAAAGGTCTCGAGAATTCATCACTTCTTTTTTTGCGTTGCAACTTTGGCAAGTCTTCATTTATTCGCAAATAATGTATTACCCTCGCCAGACGGTGTTCTGTAACACCCTGTACCAGCCTGCAATATAAGTATGAGGGAGACTCACAATCTCCCTTCCTTACCTACCCTCCTTACCCTGCACCGGTCCAGTTGCCGAAACTGCACCTTTCATGCCATCTCCCCGTTTCTCGCCAATGCAAAACGTTTGGTGAAAATAAACACTGATTGATTGATTGACTCATTGATTGACCTTGCGCAAGCAAGAAGAAGGTGATTGGATGCCCTCGTCTGTGCCCCCCTGTTCGCACGCCGATGGTGCTTAGCCTTCGAACAGTTGTTAATCGCTCAACGAAATACACTATAAGTTCAGCAGACGTCGACATCGGGCAAGATAGCTTGGCGGAAGAGGCGTGCTCACAGATCCGTGTTTGATGGCGTAACAGGTGCGGTTATTGGCCGTCAAGCCACCCGGACAGGAGCCTGGCCACGGAACGGAGGAGCCACCGACTCCAGCGATCTGCAGCAGCACGTCGGACAGGGGAAGCGAGTCGGCGACCACGTGCAGAATCACGTATAGCGTCAGAGCGTAGCCCGTGCCTGAGTTGTAAGTGCAAAGTAGTATTAGTAACGTGTACGTGGTTAATGTCAAAGAAAGGTGCTATGGTTATCTTTAGTTATCGAGTAACCTTTCTCTTCTTTAACGTACAAATCATTCCAACAATAGGTGAATCTTGTCTAATATTCTTCTATTACAATATAAAGCAGGTGGCAAGCTTCAAAAATGCACTAAATTGTTTTTTTAGATGTTACGTTTTGAAGCTCCCTGCCTATACAAAAATATTTAGCCAAATAATGCTGTAGTTACCTTGAGCCGTTCGAAAGTCGTGGCTTCGAGCTCTGAACAGAGTTCCCTTAATCATGCCTGGGATATCTTGTGTATTGTTTTTGCATAGTCGCCAACGGGGTGGAGAGCGTTCTTGCTCGCCACTAAAATAGCATATTTTGCTCAAAACTTGTATTTTACCTTCACGTTTTGCTTAGGATGTCAATGTTCTTGGCTCACTCTTGTCACCCTGCGGCGTGATATGGAAGCGTACGCTCCTTTCAGAGTTAGGTTGTAAAAGAACATGTTCCCTCAATGAAATCAAACATATTGTCTCCCAGAACAGCCACTAGCTGCTTTAATCGTTCGGTCGCGCCATTTTCTCTCTCTCGATTATTGCGCCTTATACGTGGGCACCTTTTTTCTATCCTAGAACATTTAACATCTGCGCGTTGTTGCAGCTCATGTCCTTCCATCTTTAAACTAGCAACAGCTGAGTCTTCGTGCCTCCTTCAAACCAATATTTACCCTGAGCAGCACGCATCCTTTACTCTTTATTGTCGTGAGAAAAAACGACGATATACAAAGGTCATCGAACTGATCGGTGAGGCTATAATGGAAAGGAGAGGAACAAGTGCACAGATGATCGTGCCGATAGAAGGCAGCCAGTTGAGCAGTGGCGGAGCGTGCTGCATAGCTGAACCTCGAAAGACGAACTCTGGGTCGTCCAGCTGACTGAGGATAACACCAGGACCCAAGGGGCTCCGTCTAAGCGAGCTTAAATTACTTCATAAACTGCGAGTATTCTCAGACGCTTGTTTCACCAAGAGTCAACGCAGACTTCGCAGAAATTATGCTTTGCAAAGTACTTGTTAGTTTACCAAGCCCCGCCGCGGTGGTCTAGTGGCTAAGGTACTCGGCTGCTGACCCGCAGGGCGCGGGTTCGAATCCCGGCTGCGGCGGCTGCATGTCCGATGGAGGCGGAAATGTTGTAGGCCCGTGTGCTCAGATTTGGGTGCACGTTAAAGAACCCCAGGTGGTCTAAATTTCCGGAGCCCTCCACTACGGCGTCTCTCATAATCATATAGTGGTTTTGGGACGTTAAACCCCACATATCAATCAATCAATTGTTAGTTTACCAACAAATCAATGGTTCTATCGCTTGTGATCGAGTTGCAAGCCATGCAAAAAGCATCGCACAAACTGGGTGTCTTGCACTTCTAGGATTTATCGCGTTCACGTGTTACCCAGATCGAAACGAAATTCGTGCGTCGCGCTCACCAAGGAACAGCGGAACCGTGCTGAAGATGCCACAGTTGCCGTCCCCAGCAAACTGGGCCAGGTTGCTCTCCAGTTGCATCATGGGCATCGCCACGGTCATCAGCAGGACCAGGTACGCCAGCAGGAATGGCACTGTGCGTAGCGACAGATCCAATAGTGTGTCATCGGCATAATTTCAAGGGACGTATTGGAAACCATGCTTACCCTTTATTCTTTGAATTATTCCTTATTCAATGCTTAGCCCGAAGGCGCTGTATCAGAGGGGTTACAATGTGGAGAAAAAGACATGGTAAGTATTACAGCGTACTTGTTCATTTGATAAGCGGTTCCATTTGCTGATGGAACAAACAGAAATGAATTAGCATATAAATTAGATCTTGTAGGGTAATCCAATATCTTCGTACCGTGACAATTTCGCAAAGAGACATATTGAGGACTGGGAAAGGGCATTTCTTTTCGAATGCCAGTTTTACCAAGAAATAGGTGATACAGGAGCTTTAACCGCAGTATTTTTTGACAAGATGAGAGTAATTTTTATCCTATAGCTAATTTATCATATTGACGCCAAGGTCATTTCTTCTGTACCGACTTAGGACCCTTACTTACGACTTAAGTAACTGATCCGTGCTTAACTCGTATCACAGGGCAATTGGTACGTAGGGTAAACCTAATCTGTTACCTGACTACCTGAAACCAGAGGAAAGTAAAGTAGAAATACTAGGTACCTCAAGGGCTACCATAGGTTTTCTCTTCAGAATGACTGGATACTACAGCTTTCTCGAAGACTTCACCAGTTTTGCTGGCCGTGTGAAAGCATTTGGGCAGGATGATGCATATCGTTACGCACCACCGCCGCACCCACTTCTGAAACAACATCATAGTCCCACATTGGCGTATAACGACGTGGTATTCTGGTCGTGGTACCACTTTCCATGTGAGTGGTGCCTCTTTCACTCGCTTTCGCTCGAGCGTCACCAGCAGCGTCAAAAACGCAGTCTTAAAGCAGAAAAATGACTTGGCTTCTTACGCAATTCAGCTGATGTATTTCTACAGTGAGTGTCGCGTGCGAGTTATTCGTGATTTATGTATTAAAGTAACCACACAAAGTTTCAAAGCCTCGTTTCTAGGAGTCAGGCTCAGTGGTACTTTGGAAAAGGAGTCTTAAGCGCAGTCCCTTTTCGCTAAAGTTCGGTTCTAGAATGCGTGCAAACATAGCTGTGGTGTCGAATGTATTTTCACGTGGTCGCAATGGCGACGAACTGGAATTAGTAAAGTAAAGTAAACTAGTAAGTTAAACTGGAACTAGTAAACGTGAGATGCTATTAAATGAGCTAGAAGACAGAAAGAAAAACTGACCCATACAGCCCAGCGATAGCCTCGAGCACCGTCATCTGTTATCGATAATTCAATTGCCCCTGAAGCGCGATGACTTAATTTTATGCATACCTGATCGAACCTCCCAGTAATATCGCTTGTGCTATGGACTTAGCTCGGGGATCAGCTGGGCTACTGGTGTCCTGAGAGCAATCTTATGAGGATTTTTAAACAATTGGGAAGCTTGACGTTTACAATAAGGTGCCGCCTATGCCGAGCTTCGACAACACGTGTAATGATAAGAGAGCTTGTTTTTTGTTGAGGCTCAACGTCTTAAAACCGCAATATGATTATGAGAGACACCGTAGTGGAGGGCTCGGGAAATTTCGGTCATCTGGTGTTCTGTGAGTACTGGCCCTCAACACTTCTGCCTCAATCCTAAGTACGGCCGCCGTGGCCGAGATTTGATCCCACGAAACACAAATAAGCGCTCGTAGCGCTAACATGTTCTTTAGCTAAACCAAACTTTATACGTGAAGTGTCTCAAGCTACTAGGCCGAGCCAGCTAAGTTTACCCCCGTATTCAGAGACGCTCTTCGACTTGCCTAGCCATCGCCTTTAATGCAGCGTAAAACGCGTTTCGAACGCGCTCTGTTGAGGCGTTGGCAACAAAAGTTAAGGAGCGTGTCACATAGTCTAGTCCCGCAGAAAGCCTGAACACTCAAAAGTTAGAAGCAATAGGGCGTGGGAGGTCCATATGTGTCAGAACTAAATGGGGGCTAACATCCCCATTTTTAAGCTTGAACCTTCATGTGATATGTGATTCTCACATATCACATAAAGGTCAATTTTGAAAAGAATGTGATGTCCAGATTCGAGAAACATATCAGTACGGATCTACGCAGTGACTAAAATCACGACGCTGATCTTGAAGTTGACAGATTATGTTCCGCGTTTATATTTCAACACAAGGTGATTGCGCGAGGTGCTTCACGAAAAAAAAAAATGTTACAGAGCAGCCAGGTCTGTTTAGGCTACAAAGGGCCAGTTATTGCGATAGATGAAAACATATAACGAGTTGAACTTAGCAGTGTCAGACACAGTCATAAAGTCATAAAAAATACGGGACTAAGATTCTCACGCCCGGACTGCGGGAAGCGAGCGAATGGTCGGTAACCGTCAGGTAAACTGTAATGTGTGCCTTGAGGCAAACATTACGGTTTGCCGCTAAACTATCAATAATGAAAACAAGTAGCTCGCCAATGATGTCCATATCTCCGCAAACAAAATAAAGAGAGAAAAATGTGGAAAGCAAGCGAGGGCTGCACTGAGAATGTTTTTTTTTTACAAATTCAAAGTACTTGATAGGAACATCTGTATGAGTTCGAAATCTATCTGTGAAAGCAAAGAGTTTGCTGAAATTAACGAAAGGGGACTACTCTGGCGTACGATCATTCAGCCACCGTGTAAATGATGGGTAGTAAACTAATTTGCTTAGTCTTTTCGCTTGTGGGGTTCTAACGCACTAGTGTTTTTCTTTATTGCTGTGTTTAGAATTTTTTCAGAATAAAAAAGAAATTACTGGGAGGTTCGTGAGCCGATATAAATTTCGGAGCCTAAAAAACAGTCAAGATGGTGGAGCGTAACTGCTAAATAACTGCTAAACCTTTTTGAACTTTGTATTGAGGCAAAGTCTTTACAGGCCATGTGGAACCGAACGGAGCTAAAAGAGTGAAGAATAGGTAAGACTGGGCAAATATTTGGTATATACCCATAATTCTTGTTCTGAATGGAGCGCTGGGCGTTGAAGCTATCGTAGACACTGTAGCGCCAGAGTCGCTTCTGCTGCACTTATAGGAAACTTGGCATTTATTGAAAGTTGGTTGAGGCGATGGTTACAGTGACAGCGGCCATGTGAGTGCGGTTTCTGTGTAGATTTGAGTATCGATAAATCGATAATGACCTGGTTGTATAGCAACTTTCCTCTTTTATCCGCAAATTACTTTGTTGGTCAAACACACCTTTACAATAATGCAATGTACCAACTTGCTAAATAGCGTGTTATACATGTACACCAAGTTGCAGGTTGTAGTAACATCTGAAGTGAATGCGCTCAGGAGTTTAGGCCCTTCAAGTCAGCCATCTCTAAATAATATAAACTAATGAAGCTTTCATAACATCTGGAAACCAGCAACTCGGCCTTCTCTGGAGTCGCGTTAAGGAGTGTGTTCCGCAGGGTTAATTACCCTTACGATGACACGATTTCGAAGTGTTTGAAACACATTGTGACGCAATGTCGAGGTGTTTAGTTTATAAGTGTCTCTAGTGCTTGCGTACACTAGTTGGACAAACTTCTCTTTGAACAATGTACATTCACTGTTCTCAAGCTCACTGCTTTCCCATTGTTGAGTACAAATCGCTAAACACATATTTTATAGGTACACGAGTCTCAAAGCTCGTCGGTGCAATGGCTATAGTGCGGGCATTCGCTTCACACTGAGTGCTGTACCGAGTAGCGGTGTACCAACCTCCTCCGTAAAAGATGAACATCATGGGAAACATGGCGGCGTTGGCGCTGCCCGTGGTCATCATGACGAGCGTGGCCAACTTGTGAGCTTGGCTCCGATACTGCGTGGCGCCACCGTACACCGCAGCTTGACCTTGACGACGCTGCGAATAGATTGGAGATTATGCGAAAATTCGATCATCGATGCATTTAGCGGCAGCCTTTCACAGACACACTAGTTGGTAAAATCATATCAAAAAGTATATATATATATATATATATATATATATATATATATATATATATATATATATATATATATATATATATATATATATATATATATATATATATATGTATATATATATATATGTATATATATATATATATATATATATATATATATATATATATATATATATATAAAATGTTAAGGCGTTTATTAGCCGGCCCACAGCGAGCAAGCACAATGGCGACAGTAACGGCCAAGCGCGGGCTCTCAGCGCGAGCGGCGTCCTTGTTGGGTGGCCCCACTAGAAGGTACTCAAGTGTTCGACCCATTTCATAGTTCGAAGGCTTCGCTACAATTACCCCGGGGTCGAAGAGGGAGCCGCCTGGTGACCTAACAGCTTGTAATTATAAGCGGGTCATAATAAGCCTTCAGGCGCTCCACGTTGACGATGTCTCGCCCACGGCGGCGCATGTCCGAAGATTGTTCAACGGGTTCGATCAGATAGTTGACGGGTGAGGTGCGCTCGATGACACGGTAGGGGCCTTCGTATTTGGGACGTAGTTTGGAAGAGAGGCCAGCTACAGAGGTCGGGATCGAGAGCCATACAAGCGCACCAGGAAGGAACGTGGGCTCAGAAGTGGTGGAGCCATCACGGATACTCTTCTGCCGCTCTTGCTCTTGCGTCGTAAAAGTCTTGGCAAGCTCGCGACACTCTTCAGCAAGCCTGGCTGTCTCGGAAATAGGTGTACACTCAGATGGATCCAGCGTGTACGGGAGTATCGTGTCCATGGTGTGCGACGGGTGCCTTCCGTACAGCAAGTAGAAAGGTGAAAAACCAGTCGTGCTCTGAGGGGCGGTGTTGTAGGCGTAGGTGACGAAGGGCAGTATATTATCCCAATTAGTGTGGTTGGCAGCGACGTACATAGAAAGCATGTCGCCGAGGGTGCGGTTAAAGCGTTCGGTGAGGCCATTCGTCTGTGGGTGGTAAGCAGTTGTTCTGCGGTGGACAGAATGGCACTCCGTCAGAATGGCTTCGACGACTTCCGACAAGAAGACACGGCCTCGATCGCTGAGAAGCTCTTGGGGTGGTCCGTGGCGCAGTATAAATCGATGCAGCAGGAAGGACGCAACATCGCGCGCAGCAGCCGCAGGGAGAGCGGCGGTTTCGGCGTATCGCGTTAAATGGTCAACGGCAACGATGGCCCAGCGGTTACCAGCCGACGTCAGAGGAAGTGGTCCATACAAATCGATACCTACGCGCCCAAAGGGACGGTCAGGGCAAGGTAACGGTTGTAGACTGGCGTGCGACATGTGAGCTGACAGTTTACGGCGTTGGCAAGTGAGGCAAGAGCGAACGAACTGCTGCACATAGCGGTACATCCCGCGCCAGAAGTAGCGTTGTCGAATGCGATGGTAGGTTTTGAATACCCCAGAGTGCGCGCATTGCGGATCAGAATGGATCGCTACAATATATATATATATATATATATATATATATATATATATATATATATATATATATATATATATATATATTGTTGAGAAAACAGGTATGTTTCTTCCAAACAATTTCTCACACTTACTTCGCGCTCGCATTTACGTTAAGTAAGTGGTAATTCTGTACTTTGTTACCCGCTTAAATCGACAGCCATGAAGATGTCTATTACCTTACATCCAAGATAAAAACACCAACTTTCTATGCATAGTAGGACAGGATGTTCCCAGTGAGGGCAAACATGAGATGATATTTGTATTTCCGCCTACTGCTTTCGCATCAGATCGTGAGATCGGGCATACAAATTGACATATCTGTGAAAACTGATCCACGTTTATGACAAAGTAGCACTCATACTAATAATAACTGTTGAGGTTTCAACACCTCAAAGTCTGATATGATTATGAGAGATGCGGGAATTTTCCATCACCTGAGGTTGCTTAACGTTCACGTGAATTTAAGTGTATGGTTGTCGAATATTCGCCCTCAACAAATACTGTGCCGCTGTAGCCGCCAGCACCGGCTCCCGAAAAGGCCGCTAGTTATTACAGAATCAATCGTTATGAGTTGGCCGGCTTCATTGCAAGCCAACAAGGTGTTGCTTCTGTATCTGCGGATCGCGAAGACGCACTGCTTCGGATCTACATCAAGGAACCGAAGTTGCCAACATTATTCTAAAGTACCCTGCCTTATGACTTCTGTAATATTATGTCCTGTGCCAATCTCGGTCGTTAAAATCAATCAATTAATCTGTAGAGGGTGCTGCATATTTATTACCGGTTAACACGGGCGCTTGTATTCGCGATCAGGGTGATCCGGATCGTTCTTCTTGATTGCGATGAACTTTATGGCCAGTGCTACACGGTCCAAGCTAGTCTGGTTCAACTCGCATGAAGTGTACCAGGTGGCACTTGCGTGCCGTAAAACATTTCATTGAGAACAGTCTGCGTACGTTGTTTCAATAGAACCATTTATCAGCGGTGTGTTATTCGTGCAAGATCTGCTCGAACGCCAAAAGCTTTGCGTGCCAATAAAAAAGCAATTTCATAAATCCATCATTCGGTAGGGTCGCTTAATTGTATCGATGTGGGATACTTTCGATTTTATTTCTGATGGCACCTGCTCGTAGCCGTCCAGTCGCAGAGAAATGGCCTTCTCGTTGCACATGCAGCGAGTATTACTTCTGGTGCCTCAAGTCTTCCAGTTGCTCCTTCCAGCGATCGATTACTGTAAAGGTATGTTGATTCAACTACGAAGTGCGTGCACACTGCGACTGAGTCGAAAAGCGGGTGACACTCCTAATCGATTTGTTTCGAGGTGTTTTATCTGCTCCGACGGCGCGAGAGTTGAAGTTGTCGTCTGCTTATCGTCTGCTTCTCCCACAACTACTTGCGGTCAATGTGACTCCTAAAGTATGCACTATTACAAATATTTTCTCTAACGGAACAGTTTAAAACTTATTTTCAAAAAAATCCAGCTTTTGAAATATGATATTACAGAACTATGCTTGATTTTCTTATTTTACTTTCAACAAGCTCGGCCAGGAGTGCAAACGACAGGTAGTCAAAATCTCCCAGCCTGATGGCGATGCGCGGATTGCGATAGTCTTGGTCGCGGTCGGGCCTAATCGCGAATAAAATTGACCGTGTAGCAGCACCTAATCCGGATCGTGGTTAATCTGAAGCAGCACTTATCGCGATTAAAATTGCCCGTGTGACACCGGTATTACATTCAATCATTGGCTTCCGAATGCCTCCAACACGTAGGCCTGATCACCAAAGAGGATCTTTGCAACGCAAGAGTCGTTAATGACGTCTAGCACTGCGTGTTGCGCTCGCAACATGTGAAAAATCCTTGGTGCAAGCATGCAGCAGAGCCCTTTAAAACTTCTCAAGTCGGGAATTACAGCCCCAGCGCGATGTGACGCAATTTAGCAGCACCAGCGTGTAAGATACGAAAGCACTCTTCGCTCAGACAGCTCACCCCAGATTCCGGTTCATGGTCGCTTGTGCTGGTCAGCTTTGGCAGAGTCATGGCGGGAGACGTGCGTGGTACGCAAAGTGAAGGCAGGATTCAAAAAATAATGGGTCCGTTCTACAAAGATGGCGGACACCACGACAGCCACTTCTTCTTCTGGCACTACGAAAAGAAGACCCCGTGGATTCACGCCCAGCAGCTGTCGCAGCGCGCGATGCTTAAGATGATGATGAGCATGTAATTATGAAAGACCCCACGATTAGTAGCACGCGTCTAAACTGTGTAGAAAGCATGACAAGAAAAGAATTAGAAACAATAAATTTTAAGATCATCGGGATAGTCGCTGAAAACTGGGAATCAAAGGACGTTCACAGCTAATATACTTATCTGACCAAATGCATGGGAGGTTACATGTAGGTGAGAAGGGAAACTATATGAATAATCCAGAAAAAAAGCAGAAACCGCAAGAATCGTAATTATCGTGGCTTGGCACTTTGTGCTTCCCTCAATGATGAAACCTTTCATTCGAAAAAAAATTTCTAGATGTATGACATTCGCTTTTTGTTGTTCACCTTCTCTTGTGTCTCACACTCGTTGTGGGGTATGGGCTTTTAGTAGAAACTTTTAGGTTGATTATTTTAAAGCTTCATTTTTTTCCTCAGGGATTCAACGTTTACAACTTATTTACAACGTCATTTACAATTTGTTTTCTTTACAACTTAGGTTTTGTTGCGACGCCCTTATTCATTGCTTCCACCGTTCAGAAAAACATCGACACATGTTTACCATGTTCTCTATCGCGTTAGTGTGATTCCTCAAGAAAGCGCTATGGGGAACCGAAGCTCAAGTTTGCGGAGCGACAACAACGCCGCGCCTGGCCCTGGCGGAGAGCTCCAGAAAACTTGAGAAGAGACGCGGGAGAGGTCGCAAGCGAGTCGGTGTGTTTCACCGAATCGGGAGCGCGTGCGACACGCGGGCAACGCATTCTGTTGTCGGTGCGGGAACTTCGGTGTCGTGCCGTCAGCTTGGCGTGCTAAAACAAGACGCCCGCTGTGCGAATTTGCCTTTTCGCGATGAAAGAAGCGGCCCCATGGAAGCGTCGGCGAGGTCCCAAGTATTGTTATGTTGTGGGCTGCCACAGCAATGCAGACAACACCAAGGGACGCTCTTCACAAGTAAAGCTGTACCAGTTTTTCACCAAACAACAGCCCGCGAACACAGCCGTGTTCGCGAAAGATAGAGCAAGCATGACACGAGAGCCAGGAAACTTTTGTACTTTTCTACGAAAGATGGCGCTGCCTGTTTGGAGTCGCAGTAGAAGAGATGCATCCCTTCACATCAATGAAAAGATTAGAAGAAAGGGATCTCAGTGGCTGGCAGAAGTACATAAAAAAGATGAAAAGGCAGCTGCAAAATTTTGGAACCTTCTAAACGCCCTAAAAAATGAGACGAGCCTAGAGCAGAGTTTTATAACTACAGCCCAAGGTGCTAGGCTAGAAGGGGACGAAGTTATTGAATATATAAGAACAAAGGTGACAGAAAAATTTCAACAAAAAAGTACTTTATGCACCACAATAGAACAAGGACGAATCAAGTGGTGCAATGGCTCCATTTTCACAACGAGAGTGGGAAAGGGCTTGAGAAAAGGGTTCCTAGTAGTACATCAACAGGCCCAGATGGCATTCCAATTATGCTGATAAAAACATTAGGTCCGAAGTCTAAGCAGGCTTTAAGAGAGCCAGTGAGCAAAATAATAATCGACGGTGAAGTTCCCAATGGATGGAAACTTAGCAGGATGAGCATGATCTATAAAAAAAAGGGGGACAAAGCTGAAATAAACAACTACCGTCCTATAACAGGGACATCAGTGGTCTACGGGCCGGCGATGCAGATTATAAAGAAAAGACTGCAGGCAGAGATAGAGGGTGAGGGGGTGCTGGGGGAACTGCAGAATGGGTTTCGGAAACACAGGAGGTTGGAAGACAATCTGTTCTCACTGACGCAGTGCATCAAAATAGCAGAAAAGGAACACAGGCCCCCGTGGCTAGCATTTTTGGACATGAAGGGAGCGTACAATAGCGTGGTTCAAGAGGAATTGTGGGGAATACTGGACACACTGGGCGCGGAACATGTAGTCACTAATCTTTTAAAAGATATCTATAAAGGTAGTAAGGTAGTTATAAAGAGGGAAAAACAGGTATCCAAGCCTGCAGAGGTAAAACGGGGGCTTAGGCAGGGGTGTCCCCTGTCACCCTTATTATTCATGATGTACCTACAAGGATTAGAGGCCAAATAAAAAGGAAGTACGTGGACTGGGCTTCAACCTCTCTTTAGTCAAACAAGGAAATCTAACTGATCTGGCACTACCAGCATTATTGTACGCAGATGATATAGTGCTAATGGCCAACAACAAGGAAGATTTGCAGAGATAGATGGACATCTGCGGTAATGAGAGAGATAGGTTACATTTTAGATTCAGTAAGGAAAAATCAGCAGTCATGATTTTCAACGTCAACGAAGGTAGTGAGCTTAGAATACAGGAGGTCACGCTAGAGATAACAGATAACAAATATATGGGCGTATGGATAAGCAATGGGACCAAGTACCTTAGGGAACACGAAATATACGTGACGACTAAAGGTAACAGGAATGCAGCCGTAATGAAAAATAGGGCACTGTGGAATTACAATAGGTATGATGTTGTGAGAGGAACATGGAAAGGGGTCATGGTTCCTGGGCTGACGATCGGCAATGTGGTCTTGTGCATGAGATCAGAAGTTCAAGCAAGATTAGAAATTAAGCAACGTGGAATAGGTAGGCTTGTTTTAGGAGCTCACGGGAATACACCCAATCCGGGAGTACAAGGTGATATGGGATGGACATCATTTGAAGGCAGGGAAGCTAGCAGCAAGATAAAATTTGAGAAGCGATTGAGAGACATGGGGAGGTGCGTTGGGCTAGGAAGGTTTTCAGCTGCTTGTACATGAAGAATGTCGATACAAAATGGAGGAAGCGAACCAGGAAATTGACTGGTAAATACTTACAAAACAGCAGGCGGCCAAACCAAAAAGAAGTATTGGTTAAGAAGAAAGTGAAGGAAACGGAGACTGACATGTGGAGAATGGGCATGATTAAGAAGTCTGCACTAGAGATCTATCGAACTTTTAAGCAGGAAATTGCCAAGGAAAGGATCTATGATAATACTCGGGGTAATTCTCTACTGTTTGAGGCTAGGACGGGAGTACTGCGAACCAAGACATATCGGGCCAAATACGAAGGGGTAGACACTGTATGCAGTGCGTGTGGAGAGGAAGAAGAAACTACCAAACACTTGATAATGTCCTGTAAAGGGCTTCACCCTATAGTTCAGGATGATGGTGCAGAGTTTTTCAAAGCACTGGGGTTTAGGGACCGGGAGGGCAAAATAGACTTTAATCGGGTAGAATTAACTAAAAGGAGGTTATCTGATTGGTGGCTAAAGTTAAGGCACGAGTGAAAATTAAACCCTTCACTGCAAAGTACGAATCCTAAAACTCACTTTTTAAAGGAAAAAAATCTAGTTTTTGGTTCATTAAGTATTACGTCTTGGTGGCGCTAGCCACCGCCCGATGTAAAGGGTACAGCCATATCCATCCATCCATCCATCCATCCATCGCAGCACCACTATTCGTTGCTTCGACTTCCTATACAGCGTCCGTTGCATTATTTCTTCTGTACACTGTTGCTTAGACATACATGCGTGATTAGGCGCATTATTAAATGCCATAACTGACCGACGTCTCGTGTCGACGGCGTGTACACGACTGAGGCAAAAAAAATCATCATCGCATTATGACGATAATATTTGGCGTCGTCACGGCGTCCCTGATTGACCATATTTTTGCCGTACTTCTCTTAAATTTATACTATGATATTATATAACATGACGTCACACGATGGCGTCATCAAATGGCATTGTGGTGTGGTAAAAAATTGACCGATCTCGGGGCCCTGCAAAACTCCACAATATGTACAAAGCTTGGAGTGTCAGTGATACCGGAGGCCATACACAATCACGTAAGGTAATAATAATTTTTGAGGGATTCGATAAAATCAACTGATAAGAAACAAGAAGATGGCGTGTGCATTTGAGTATTCTCAGGCATATACACCAGGCATAGTGGGAAATAATGTGTGAATATTGGCCAGATTCATGGTAACATTATGATGAAATTTCTGTACAAATGAACTTGAACATTTTACACTCTAGTAAAATGATCTAAGAAGAATGAAGTACATAGTAGAAGAGTACTCACCGTTTCAACGTTTTGCTAGGAGCAGTGCCTATTTTATATTTTCGGGGTAACTGTTTATGCTCAGCCTTTCTGGTATGTATAAACGTACCATTCAAAGGCCTGCTTATTCCTTCCAATAGACAAATGTTTTCATTAAAGTCTTGAATATCAAGCGTGTAAGGTATGACTTATAATATTATGTACAATATCGCACTTAAGCCTGTCCTTCGTAATACACGAAATATTCGACTAATTTATAAGTGTCAATGTTAAATGAATTTTATTACGATAGCTGATACTATTTTTGTCTCATTATATTTTTATTTTAATTTTTACTGCAAGAAGATTTGTATAGTTGAAGACTATTTCGTTGAATTGTGACAATCCTACCAATCTCTTGTCTTTAGGAAATAATATTAGGTTAACCAGTGGTATCCCTATAAATGTATTATTACTGTGCTAATGCTATCTTATCGTTCATCTAACTGCCGTGACTTGACATTGCTGTAGCTGGTTCTTGCGAAAAGCTGCGAATGTGCAGCTTGTATTTTCACATTGAACTTATTAAGGATAATTATACCTGAAACATCAAAGCTTTAGTCGAGTCTTTGGCGTGAACAAACACATGCTGAACTAGGCAACATTGTGAACAAGACTCAGATTGTTGCTTCATTGTGAACAAGGCTACCGTATACGGGAGCCAAAACGTCTTTTTTGGATACATTTCTACCTTGGTCGGCACCGTGTAAATTTGGTACTCCCAAAGCTTTTATTAAAGTACAC